CGAACTTGACATACAGAGATTATCAGGAGAGCCACGAATTAGTCACCACGCAATATCTGGTCATGATTCATTTCTTAAAAAGCACCTCTGACAGAAGGGGTTCTCTCGCGTCACGCGTGGCGCAGCGTATACGCATGATGAAATTTCCCGAGTAACGTGCATCAGTTGGCGCTATCACGCGAGCGAATATGCCTTTCGGCAACCACGTGGCACTCTCGTCTACGTGATACCAGCCACGTGCAGGTATCTCCGGCACGCCCGCTTTATACCCTAAAGACCGAATCAGTCCAGCAATTGCTGACTCGGATTGGATTAGGATTGGCGATTAACGATTGTTTTCTAGCTACCCAATGAGAGCCGATTAAATCGCTACTTTGCTCTCACTGGCAATTAACGATTGTCTTCTAGCCAATGAGAGCCGATTAAGTCGCTGCTTTGCTCTCATTGGCCAGAGGACAATCGCCAATTCCAATGTAATCCGAGTCAACAATTGCTAGCCTGATTCGGTTTTAACAAAAGCCCCTTCGCTCCTCGCAAAAAAATACTGGATCATTCCACGGATCTCCTGCAACGGCCGCTTCGTTGCCTCCCACGGTGTACCCTCAATCGTAATGTATCACTACATTATGCTGCTGATAGTCGAGCGGCGTTCTGTTACCAACGAGCTACATTGGCGTGGCGAAATTAAATCCAATACATGAAATTGTTTTCATGTAATAATAGAAAACGTAATCAGAGTAAGAAGGTACGAGTCAGTGAGATAAAAATAGAAATTTTTTGATAACAAAATATAATATATTCATTATCGCTATCGCATTGATAAGGAAGTAATTTCAAGCTTGAATCTACATATGAATTTGCATACATGGAAAAAGTATGTCTCGTTATATTTAGCTTCACTTAAGCGACGACCTTGAATATTTCGCAAGTTTGACGTTTATGTATCTTTTATGCGATTATTAAACGAACTGGAACGAACATTTCGAACGAACAGTGTGGAGTTTTTGTCAGTTGCGGCGAAAATTTATTATGTGTATCTAAAAGCGACGATTTCATCATCAGCTTTCATCGCTTGTCATAGCCATTCTGCGTATTTTCATTTATACTACGTATTCAATTCATAAGTCCACAAGATCGTACATGATTACGGAAAAAAAATCTGCTTAGAGACGCGATTAAATAAAGCCCGTTGCGCGCTTATCAATTTACGTAAGGCTCATAAGTGACTCCAATGGGATCAAGCAGAACGTGAAGGTCATTCCGGTCAAGCCAGGGGCTCGTCGCGCTCGACCAATCGGCAACAGCCACCGTGGAACGCCTTTCAGCCAAGAATGTGCTAGCCCACATGGTAACAGCGACCGCATGTGACTACACGAGTAGAGGGTCGAATAACATCGTGAATTCTTTTGACGAATTACACTAAAGACGCCTACAATTTCGACAATGTATGCAAGAAAATGTATGTGAGAGAATGCGAAGGATCATGACATCGCAAAAAAAAGAAAACGATATATACATGTAGTACAGAAATTTATTCTAATATTGTATTATAAAATTATACTTTGATATCAATATCGATTATAACTAAAAAATTGTTTATTCTAGAAAAAATTAAAATTCTCTCATTTACGTTAATAGAAAATCGATATAATCAAAGAACAAATTTAATTAAATACTATATTTTTTTCGAAGACACAAGGTGTGTTAAAGTGAATTCCTTATTGTTCCGCATTCGATATTTAGTTTTACTTGATTAAATTTTTGATCTAATTGTGTTATAAAAAATTGTCGTATTATTTCTAATATAGTAACTACTACCAAATATACACGAGAGAAAAAGCAAAAGTTTGCCAAAAAGTATGTGAGAGAGGTAACTATATTAAAATATTGAAGTTTATTATAATTCGTGCAAGTTTTTGGAAATAGTTTTTTTATTACGTAATAAATGTACAACATATGTAAAATAATCCTGCAGGTATACGCAATGATCAATATTTGGACACCACACATAGCTTTACCAACACGTTTGTTTAGTCAGATCACGCTACAAAAACTTCGAATTTCTATTATATACAAAATAAGTTTTAATCTATAACACAATATAAGATATGGTAGATTTTCTAATAGCTTTCTTATAACATAGTAATTACTCAAATATATGGCGAATAAAGTCGGACAGATCTGTTTGACACGCTGATTGCAAATAATAAGTTGGTTTAAACATATGTGTATCTTTATAAAAAGCTGTTGATTATTACTTATTGTTAGCTGCTTTCATGATCTGTGAATAGATTTGGTATATCGCGCTTTTTTTTTTCAAGAAACACTATGTAATAATTTCAATTAATTGCCGAAAAAATTGCATGGCTGAAAATATAATAACAATAGTCCGATGCGAAAATATCAAATATATTATAATGTTCTTTCTAATCGTATGTAAATTAAAACTGCAACATAGAAGTTGTAAGTCTCTTAAATTTAAAATTAAATTATGCAATAATCTCAATTGTACAGAAAATATAATACGATGAAAGAATATACATTTTAAATGTATACAAGTTATTACTACAAGAGAATCACGATTTCGCCTTTGCAATATTCCTGATCTCTTTCTCTTTACATACACTAAGATATATCTAAAAGCATAATAAATTCCTTATCAAAATTAGGCATTTTCGTGAATACTTTCATATAGATATGTATATAGATTTACGTACAACATATTACACATTTATTCAGGTTATTTATATTAAAATGATATAACGTAACCCTGTTCAATGTACTCGTTTAAACACTAATCTAATTACGCGCAACAGTTTAGTTATACAAGTAATTAATCAATGTAGCACTATGCGATCGAATGTATGTTTAATCCAATATAATGCAAATTCATTTCCATTAATTTGTTGAATGTCCCTTATTGCATTTTTATTATTTTTTGTTTCTTATTAAAATATTCATTACGTTATGTGAACATTATGATATATAACTCTACCTTTTTGTAATAAAATATCACATATCTTTCTCTAAAAATACCATTTTATCAACTGTGACAATCTGTTTTTATAATATAATAATGTAAATATATTTATATAATTTTTAATTTTGAAGTATGAAATTGTCGTGAATAAAGTACTGTGTATATATGTATATTATCTGTGTAATATTCAAATATGTATTGTATATACATATATCTGCAATGTGAAGGCAATATCATTTAATTTTTGTCTTACAATTAGTGATCTTGATAATTCAAATATAAATTTCTTTACAATTTTTATGCTGTAAATGTTATACAAAGAATATGCCCGGAAAGTAATGCAACATGCTTATTCTCTCAATTCAATCTTGGACAAAAATAATACTCGAAGGAAGCAAATAACGACTAATGTTTGTAAAATATAATATAATAATAATAACTTTATTACAAACATACAAATTTGATATTTTACAAGACCGACAAGTGTATATAAGAGTAAGAAAAATACGTGTATAAGACATCAGCAATACTGTCACTGTGATATCCAACCGTAAGAAAAGAAAAGAAACAATATAAAACAAAAGGAAAAGTGTAGCAAATAAGAATTTATAAAGATTGTAGAATAAACTATACAGTGTGATACAATGGATCGAGCGAGCAGCAGAAATTAGGAGAGTAAAGAGAAAGATCTAACATTTAGAAGCAACGAGTTGAAGAGAATGCTACAGAATTTTATGGATTGATTGTAATGCGTAAAATAGTGCGTTCTGGTGACGAGTGGAATGGTGCCAAATTAATTGGTAGAATTTGGATGAAGAATATGGTGGAATTCATGGTGCAATAAATAGTGATGCAGTGAAATGCATTACTATTTACTGAAAATCTATATATTATATAACTGTGAATTATGTAATGTAATTGTAATGTACTATAGCGTTTTAGTACTGTCAATATATTTCGCAACGCACCAAGAGTAAACAAGTTATTTTTGATCGATTTCAGTAAGATCGTCGGTCCAATAATAATAATAATAATAATATGTAAGCAGTAAAACACGCTAGAAATATATTGAACTGCATGTCCGTTACTATTCCGTCTTATAACACAGAATTTAACAATCAGGTTGATTATAAATTTGTAATTGAATTGTTAGTCTATAAATTAAGGGTAAATTAAGTAAAGAAATAGAAATCACTTTAATCCTGAGGGACAATAAAGATATTAGTGTAACCAATACTATTATTACTATTAATACTAGTACTATTAATACTACTATTACTACTATGAATACTACTACTGTTACAACTAATAAATTGCGAATGAAATAAAGATTTGTTACATTACTTTCTGGACGTTCTTCGCAATACCGTTGCCAAGTTATTTCAATACTAATTTCAGGTAAC